TTTCACTCAGCATCATGTCCTCCAGGGTCACCCATTTTGAATAATATTGCATGAGTTCCTTGTTTTTCAATGCAGCATAGTAGTCCATTGTGTGAATATACCACAACTTCTCTACCCATTCGTTTGTTGATGGGCACTAAAAGCATCTTTTAAGGGATTAATTTAAATAAAAGCATCTTTTAAGATATTTTATGCCCTTGGCAAGTCTTCCTAGAAGCCTGCTGGGTTCTTGCCCGCATGTCTTCTTTGTGTTGGTTTTTGTTTGGGGTTTTTTGAGCAAAGGTTGACCAATCATGCTGGTTTTCTGTTAATTTTTATTTGATTGAAGATTGAAAAATAATGGTTTTCATACAATCATACATAGATATGTTGTTTTTTAACATTAATTAATTAATTCTAGTATCTAATAATTTTTTATATTGCCTTTCCCTTCACACTGCTTGTTGGGTTTTTTTGTTTTAATTTTATTTGTGTGTGTGTGTGTGTGTGTGTGTGTGTGTGTGTGTACCGTCAAATCAGATCTGACTGGTACAGGAGGAGATTGCCCCTCCTCCAGCAGAGTATCTGGTGGATTCTAACTGCATATCTCTGGGATTGCAGTGCAGCTTCTTGCCACTAGGCCACCAGTGCTCCCTTCACACTACTTAATTGTTTACTAGTTTTTATTCACCTCTCCTTCCCTTCCCATTCCTATTCCTCCAGTATTGATTCTATGTGTAAATCTTTATATTAGTGGTCTTATACGATACTTGTCCTTTTGTAACCTAATGCTGTCACTTAGCATAAGTTGTTCTAGATTTATCCATGTTGTGCAATATTTCACAAATTTTTTTAAATTGAGATTTTAATGAAAGTTTTAGAGAACTTGGATTTCCATTCATTCATTGTTGCACATTTTTCTCCCTGCCCTCCCTACCCCCCAGTTTTCTTTTCTCTTTGGGAAAAAAAATATTCTTTTATACAGTCATCCCCCCAGTCCATTTTACTATGCAGCTCTTATTCTGGACTCTTGTCATGCCAATAATACCCAATCATATATTTCTTATATATGGTTTTCTCTCTCGTCTGTTACAATGCCATATACATTATATATCCCCTCTTTTCTTAGTTTTCTCCCTTTTTTATAACAGTGGCATTATGCAGTATTTGTCCTTTTGTGACTGAGATATTTTACTCAGCATAATGTCCACCATGTTAACTCATTTTCTATAATAATGAACTATTATATAATAAAATATAATAAATAAAATAATAACTCATGAACGAGTTCATTGTTTTTCAGTGCTGCGTAATATTACGTTTTGTGATATACTACAGCTTCTCTAGCCATTCGTTTGTTGATGGGCACCTAGGTTATTTCCAACTCTTTACTATTGTGAACAAAGCAGCAATAAACATTGATGTGCATATATCTGCTTGAGTGGCAGTTCTGGTTTCTTTAGGTTTCCCAAAAGTAATGGAATTGTTGAGTCAAATGGTATTTCTATTTCCAACTTTTTGAAAAAGTGCCATATTGCCTTCCAGAGTGGTTGCACCATATTTCACAAATTCTTGATCATTTTTTAATGATCCATAATGCCCTATTGTATGAAAATGCCTAAATTTCTTTAGCTATTTATATAAACCGTTGATGTTTCTAATTATTTGCTATTGTTAACAGTGCTGCAGTAAGTATGGCAAAAAGTATGTTAGTGTATTTGAACTTACTCTTTGGGCTATATAGATATGTACCAAATAGTAAAGTTGCTAGGGAACTGGTGGCCTAGTGGGTAAGGTATTGCACTGCCAGCCAGAAGGAACAGGTTCAAATCCACCAGCTGCACCATGGAGAAAGAAGAATAGTCTCTCTTGCAATTTACAGCATCTGAAGTGTCAGCATGAGTTAGTTCTAACTCCAGGGCATGTAATAACAACTGAGTTTGCTGAGTCAAATGATATTTACACTGCCAACTTTCTAAGTTGCAACATTTTACATTCTCACCAGCAGTGTATGATAGTTCAAATCTCTCCACAACCTCATCAGTCTTTGTTGCTTGATGTCTTGGTACATGATTCAAATCTACCAGCTGCTTTGCAGGCAAAATATGGGCAGTCTCCTCCCATGTGATTTACTGCCTCTGTAAACCCACTGGAGGGTCTGCTCTAAAACGATCTGATTGAACAGTACACACAACGGCAGTAGCTAGTGATCATGAACATTCCTGCATGTGTTTGTGGCTTTCTGAACGTCATATTTGAAATGTCTGTGTCTTTTGGCCATTTTGTGTTGGTTTGTCCTTTTCTTGTAGAGGTGTTAAGAGTTTACCCTTGTCATATATCATTGCAAAATATTTTTTCCACTCAACAGGTTCTCTTTTTACTCTTGCGTAGACCTTTTGATATTCATAAGGATTTAATTAGTTTATCCTCTGTTGATTGTGCATTTTCAGTTATATCCCATACTCTGTTTAGGCACCTAAGTTTGCCCCAGTTATTTTCCTTTGGTGATCTTTATAGTGTTTAGATTTACGAGTAGGTTCTTGATCTGTCTGGAGTTAGAGTTTTTGTATGATGTGAAGTGCGGATCTTATGTCTATTTTCTCAGATACCTAGTTTCACCAGCATCATTTCTTAAAGAGGCTGTCACCCCCACTGAGGGGATTTCATCTCCTTGTCAAAAATTACTTGCTGCTGGATATGTGATCAGTCTGTTCTGTTGGCTAAGGTATCTGTTCCTGTAACAGTACCTCGTGTTGATTACTGAAGCTTTTTAGTAGATTTTGAAATCAGGAAATGGTATTGGTGGTGGTGGTGAAGTTCATCAAGTTGAGTACAACTCATAGTGTCCCCATTAACAACAGATTTGAACCCTGCCCTATCTAGAATCATCCTCATCTCATGAAGGATCTTTCTCCCTTTTGCTGGCCCTCCACCTTTCCAAGCATGATGCCCCTTTCCAAGGAATAGCATCTACTAGCAAAATATGTGAGACAAAATTTCACTTATCTTTGCTTCTGACTGCACTGTTTCCAAGACATTATCTTTTCTCTTTTGCTTATATGTGTCTTTTCCCCCTTGTTTTTTTGTCTGGGTTTTTTGTTTTGTTTTGTTTTGGTTTTGGTAG